TTATTGTATTTACGACCTTATATCGTATTTGTTTGTTTCTTTTAGAACAAAGCCACATTAGGTTATCTGCTGTGCCCCCCCCCCCGCGGGCAGGATTTTAGCGTTATAAGTCGGAAACAACTTACCGCTATCCCACAGATGGACTTTTTATTGTAACTGAACATCCAACGATTTCAGCTTTTTTTTTGTTTAAAATTAGAACTATTTCTTTAATAACAATTCAAACGATTAATATTAAATATGATCCGATAAAATCAGCCAAAAAACAATTTTCTTAAAACATGTTTATAATGCATGAATATAATTTTTATATACTACATTATATATTGTTTGTTTGTTGTTAAACGCAAAGCTACACAATGGGCTATCTGTTCTGTGCTCATCGCGAATATTGATACCCGACGTTACAAGCTCTCTGATTTACCCCCTGAGTCACAGCGGGATAGCATTATACATTCATTGTAACAAGCAGAGGTGAAATAGAACAAAATCCAGTATACTAAGTAAGATAGAAATTCATTCTATAAATGTAACTTTTTTATATTTAAAAAACTAAGTAGTTTACAGTGTTTTTAGAAAATGATTAAAATATGGAGCAGTTAAGTTGCTAGTTATATCAAAATATTAGTCGATTTTTGAAAAACGTACTGCATAAATTATAAATATGCTCACGCTCATTTTATTACATATTTTTTAATATTGTTTTAAGTGTACAAAAACATGAGTATCTGAGAATATGAAGTACGACAATCGTTTCTCAATATTTAAAATTAAAAGGTTGATAAGCACCTCCTCAAGTTCAGAAAGTTCATGAGAGTTTCATAGTGACTGTAAAACGACATTGGCCATATTTTTTTTTATAATGATCAGTTTCATTTGGAATAACAAAAAACACCACAAATGGTTATTGATAAGGTTAGTTTACTTACATTCACAAAGGCCGCATTGATGTAACCAGGAGCTTTACCATTAGCTGTTGGTAACAGATAAGGTCGCCCTCTATCGGCTGAAAAATAAATTACATTTTACTAGCTTCACTTTACCATAAAAAAAAATCCTATTGCAATAAATGCAAATTTGCCTAAAGAAGGGCTTGCTTGTTTGATAAGCACAAAACTACACAGTGTACACTATGTTTTCTGCCCACTGGAGGTATCGAAAGACGATGGTTAAAGGAAAAACTGAAAATACCAATATCTCCAGATATTGAACAATTCAATATAAAAATTAAATTGTGATTTGAACACTTAAGATAATAAAGTTAATGTTTCTAGACGCAGATATTAAATTTAAACTACATATAACCCGTGTCTTTAGTCTTCCGTGGATCAATGGTTGTTTACAGACATACAACTCAAAAATCCTGGGTTTGATTCCACGCGGTTAACAGAGCGCAGATAGCCCATTATGTAGATTTCTTCTCAAAACAAACAAATAGTTCCCCTAAATAAAATTTGATAAAAAAGAATATGTTTTGTAACTTCTGACGAAATACAAGCAACTTACTTGCCAATATCTTACCGTATATATAGTACAGTATATGATATATATTCCACTGTAAAACTTACTGATGATTTTATATTCCACTGTAAAACTTACTGATGATTTTATATTCCACTGTAAAACTTACTGATAATTTTATATTCCACTGTAAAACTTACTGATGATTTTATATTCCACTGTAAAACTTACTGATGATTTTATATTCCACTGTAAAACTTACTGATGATTTTATATTCCACTGTAAAACTTACTGATGATTTTATATTCCACTGTAAAACTTACTGATAATTTTATATTCCACTGTAAAACTTACTGATAATTTTATATTCCACTGTAAAACTTACTGATGATTTTATATTCCACTGTAAAACTTACTGATGATTTTATATTCCACTGTAAAACTTATTGATGATTTACTATTACTTTTAAGATAAATATTGAGTTATTGCAGCATATAAATATTACATATGATTCTACGAGATTTTATGATTAACAGTCTATTTTTGACAGTATGATCTATAGACTACTACACAAACTGTGCATAATTTATCGCTTACTGTGTCGTGTGTTACAAAAAAAGAAAAAAAAATGTATAACCCAGTTCTTCTTTGCCTCTTTTTTCAAACATTTGATAACTTAAATCATCGTTTTGAGTTTGGTCAATTCATAATATCCACGTCTGCGAGCTGCAAATATGTTAAAATGTTCACAAACACTCACCAGTAAGCGTTTCGCAAACAAAGCCATGCATGTAACCACTACCGTACGGATTGAAGTCATAACAAATATCCAGGAAAGTGTAGTTGAATATTATTTTTGTATTTAATATTGAAATTCTATTTTGGTTTTTTGATGATGATGAAATGTTATTATTTTACAACTGACGAGTATATAAGATTGAGTATATGTTATTTAAAACAATAGAATTTAATCAATCTAAATATATTTTTAAAATGTGACACAATATGATAAAGAATTGTAAGTTGTGTTTTTTAAGTTTCAATAAACACAACACAATGTGGATAGAGTACGTTCAAACATATTATGCATATTATGACATTAAACATGCCCCCTTCCCCAGTGGCACAGCGGAATATACGGACTTACAACGCTAGAAACCGGATTTCGATACCAGTGGTGGACAGAGCACAGATAGCCCATTGTGTAGCTTTGTGCTTAACTTCAGACAATAACAACAACGATATTAGATAAATAAAGTAAAAACGTATAAAATATTAATAAGTATTTTGTATTTTCCAGTTCTTTACCTTAGATTATCATAACAAAATATATAAGAAACGTGAAAAATCAGAGGTGCAGGAGGCAAATTAAAAGTAGGGAGGAGAGCCACAATTTATCTGATCGAGTGAAGCGAGAGAGTGTGCACCACGGGTGCAACCATTACGGCCGGGATCCAAAGCTCGCCTTTGGGTTCTGAAAGTTCTTAGGTTCTGTGTGAAGTTTTAGGCATTTTCCTATTTTTCCCGGAGTAATTTTCCTGTTTTTTGATGCATTTTTACTGGGACAGGTTGAAAATTGGAGCCCCCCCCCCGCTTCTAACGCCACTGAAAAAAAGAATAGTATTATAGTACACCTGTTTCTTGTTGAACTGATTTAAATAGAAGCTAGAGTTATTTTCAGATCAGGTTGTTAATTTCGGCATGGCCAGGTGGTTAGGGCACTCGACTCGCAGTCTGCTGGTCGCGGGGTCGAATCCCCATCCTCCTCCCCCCAAACATGCTCGCTCTTTCAGTCGTGGGGGCGTTATATATTTACGTTCAATTCCACTATTCGTTGGTAAAAGAGAATCCCAAGAGTTGGCGGTGGGTAGTTATGACTAGCTGCCTTCCCTCTAGTCTTACACTGCCCTCGTGTAGCTTTGCGCAAAATTGAAAACAAACACATCAGGTTGTTAATGATTTGCAAGTTTCTCAAGAATCTATTTTGCCATAACTTTCCGTATGGTTAGAAAACATCAGTTCACGAACTCGAAACATGAATTTGAGTACACTAGCCTTTTCTGTATTTAAAGTACAAAATAATTCAACTTTCAAACATATCACACATCAAAATACATACACACCATGCAAGGAGTGTTTCAAAATGGACACCTGATTTTTTTAACTAGTAGCAACGAAAAATGTGAACTAAACAATGATGTGTTCATGTTTTTACATTTTATGACTTAATAATAAGTAGGCAAACAACGATTTATAAGCATAACAAAGTGATGCATTTATGTTAGGTACCTGAAGAAGACAAACCAACGTTCTATCGAAACATGTAGTATGTTAAACCATAAAAAAATCACTTTCTTATGCTTATAAATCATTGTTTGCCTACTTATTATTATGTTAGCACAATATGCTTCCTTATTCAAGCATCTTATGACTTATTATACAAGTAAACTAAACATAATCATAAACGCATAATTCGTTCAATTTCTAACAAAGAGGTTGAATGTTGTATGGTAGGGTTTTGTTTATCATATTTTATACAACTGTTGTACCATCAATTTTATATTATAAATACTTTGATTGTCCTAATTAGTTTAATATATATTAAGTTTACTTTACATTATGTTCTGTAAATTTTACATCTTCTAGGTCAGTCATGTTTACTATACTATTTAAAAGTATTCAATGAATTGAATTCACTCTGATAAATAAACTAAATCATCAATTGGTTTGTGTGTGTGTTTTTTAATATTCACTCCTGTCATTGATTTAGACTTTTCGTAATTTGGTTTCGTTTACACATCCCCTTTCCTATTATCTTTGTAACTATTATGCACAACGGCAGTGGTCTGGCACGCGTGCTACAAGGTGGCGCACGACGTGAAATTTAGTGGCACATATATTAAAATCATGTCTGAGTAACATTAGCAATATATTAAATAATTTAATTATTTAATTTTAGTTTAAACGTTTGAAAATAATTAGCAGCATTGGCTGATTTGTTGTTCATAACAATACTTGTCACAATAAGTGATAAAATATAAAAACACAAGGTACCAGGAATGCTTCATTTATTGTCTCTGCACTTAACCTTAATCTAACCTAGGCCTAAGGGTAAAAACACAAAAGCAGTAATAACAATAATACAAAACAAATGCCTTTCTAGCTTTGCATTATTCCTAACCCTACAACTGTACAGTCTACATACGATTGGTGGTATGCGGATGAGTTCGAAAAATGAATTGACAAATTTATCTATTTTCGAACTTTTCGAGAAAAAAGATTGACAATCCCTTAAGTATGGTACAGTCTTGGTCAAAATGTTTGTATACTGTTTTATATTGATGTTATTGTCTATATGTATGGAGTAGTTATTGAATAAATGTCCAAGTAGTAACAGAGAAAGTAGCGAATGATCCGACAAACATGTACGAGTCGTTATTCTGGTCTTTATAAGTTGTTCTGAGCATTTGTTCGTCAAAATACACATCTGTTTTGTATAAAAGAGTGTGCTTTTGGGATAATCTTTTTCGAAACAGATCAACGGTTTGTTCAGACAATTTGTCTATATTTGGTGCAGAATCATGCCTTGTCACCTGCCAGAAGTTATAGAGCGTCAAATTGTTCGACTGTCCAGAAATGGTACGAAGCCAACGGACATTGCCAGAACAGTAGTGTATTGTATCCAGAATCCTTAAACGTCATCGGACTACAGGAAAAGTTATTCCAGGAAAGTCTACTGGTACACGCCGAAAAACTACTGCCCCGAGATGACCATGTTTTGATCAGGTTAACATATCAAGGTCTTGCAACATCTTATGAGAATAATGGCACGAACACATTCATTGCAAGATATCCAGAAGAACAGTGAACAGGAGACTAACCAAACAAGGCTATTTTGCAAGAAGGGATATTTGCTAATCCATATTAACCAGAATTCACTGCCGTTACCGTGTTACTTGGACAAGAGAGCATGCCAACTTGCAGTTAGGACACTGGCAACATGTCATCTTTTCAAGTTAGTCCTGTTTCTGGTTTGTTAAAACTGATGGTAGTATTCGTGTTCGTCGTTTGCGTAGAGAACAGATGAAGGAAAACTGTCTTTCTCGCAGGGAACACACAGGAGGTAGTCCAGTACATGTTTGGGCAGCTATTCATTATGGTGGAAAAACTACTCTTCACATCTTCCAGGGAAACGTTAATGGCGCCTTCTACAGACAGCACATGGATACGATATTTCTGCCTTATGCTAGGGCAAGGTTTAGCAATGACTTTGTGTTCCAGGATGACAATGCCACTGCCCACAGTGTGCGTATTGTACAGGATTATCTCAATCAGAAGAACATTACAAGATTGCCATGACCAGCAAAGTCTCCAATTTGTAATCCGTTCAGAACCGTTAGGCATAGTTGAGCAGGAAAATTGCTAACCACGACCCTAAACCAGTTAGTGTAACTGAGTTTTAGCGAATTATAGTGAAGAACATAGACAAGCCAATGGTGTGAACATATTTAAGGACCTAAAATATTTCAGACTATTTAAATACTTTGAATGTTTATTTGTGATTAAGAAAATAAATAAAACCATGGATTACAATCTAACAAACTACAAATTATAAACTATTAGAATCGCATGCTTATCAAATGAAAATAAGACAGGCGTACTCATGTCACTGAAACTTAAAACTTTCCTGCTCTAGTATGTTCATCCGGGTTTCTTCCCATGTTACATTGTCTTAATTATCGCTTTGAAGCTCTTGCACTTTGTTATCGTGTATCGTTAACGTTGTTTTGAATTTACCGTATGGCACCATGAAAATGTTTAACTGTTAAACATTCGGTAATATTGCACAAAGTCCTTTTACAAAAACATGGGTTCATCAGGTCTCCACAAAAAGGAATCTATACTTGCAAGTGGCAGAAGTCAGTAATCTACCTCACGAGTGTTCATTTAGGATATCATAACAAATAGAAAACATGGTGATTATGATAGTAATGTAACTTTCCAATATTGAATGTAGCTGGCACTTCACATTATCAACTAATCTTAAAGCATCTTCTTCGCAGTTAATAACACTGCGTAGTGCTTCATATCGCTGCTTCCAGGATAACGTATCATTAATTTGTTTGTTTTGAATTTCGTGCAAAGCTAGCCGTCCCTAATAGAGCATTGATAGATTAGAGGGAAGGCAGCTTGTCAACAACACCCACCGCCAACACTTGAGCTACTCTTTTACCAATGAATAGTGGGATTGACTGTCACATTATAATGCAACCACGGCTGAAAGGGCGAGCATGTTTGGTTGGACGGGGATTCGAACCCGCGATCCACATATTGCGAGTCGAGCGCCCTAACCACCAGGCGATGCCAGGTCCATCGTGCAAGGTTTTATCTGTTTTAGTGTGATGGCTGGAATATCTTCAGATAATCATTCTCAAGTACCAACAAATCCTCCGCTGATCGCATACCAAGATTTCTTTACTGTTAATTCACACGTAGTTAAAGTTTACCTGGAATAATTTGCAAAGTTCGATTTTTTCCTCTATTTTCGAGATCCAGTGCTTCTCTGCAGTCGGTTGGCCTTAGTGGTGTAGCTAGTTTATCCAGCCTCTATTTAATAAAGACAATCTAATATGTGTATAATTATAAAAAATACATATATATTTAACATTAATTAGGTCGACAAAATATTTTTATAAACCAATAAAATAGCTATACGCTTTTCGATAAATTAAATAATTCAATATGCGTAAATAAATATGAAAGAAAAAAGTTTAGAACATTAGAGACCTTAAACTGTAACTGGAGTCGTGTTTCTCCAGTGTTTGTATCCTGCTCCATCAGTTTTTGAAATTCTGAGAAGAAATCAGAGCAAGCGATACTTGTTTCTTCACCACACACAGCATCAACAACAGCTTTGTAAGCAAATATGTACTGGTCCTGAAATAAACAAGTAAAATACAATATAACAATATAACAAATGTAACAATTATTAACGGTTCGTAGGTAGCAAAGATTAACATATTCTGTCGTAGAGGCAGATATAACAAACAATTATTAACGGTTCTTGGTAGCAAAGATTAACATGTTCTGTCGTAGAGGCAGATATAACCAACAATTATTAACGGTTCTTGGTAGCAAAGATTAACATGTTCTGTCGTAGAGGCAAATATAACCAACAATTATTAACGGTTCGTAGGTAGCAAAGATTAACATGTTCTGTCGTAGAGGCAGATATAGCCAACAATTATTAACGGTTCGTAGGTAGCAAAGATTAACATGTTCTGTCGTAGAAGAAGATATAGTTAATCTTTGCTACCTACGAACCGTTAATAATTGTTGGCCATGTTCTGTCGTAGAGACAGATCTAACCAACACTTAGTAATGGTTCGTAGGTAGCAAAGATTAACATGTTCTGTCGTAGAGACAAATATAGCCAACACTTATTAACGGTTCGTAGGTAGCAAAGATTAACATGTTCTGTCGTAGAGACAGATATAGCCAACAATTATTAACGGTTCGTAGGTAGCAAAGATTAACATGTTCTGTCGTAGAGGCAGATATAGCCAACAATTATTAACGGTTCGTAGGTAGCAAAGATTAACATGTTCTGTCGTAGAGGCAGATATAACCAACAATTATTAACGGTTCGTAGGTAGCAAAGATTAATAATTAACAATTATTACACATCAAACAGGGTTTTTTGGGTATTTAGTTTATTTGGGTTGATAAGTACGATTAGCTAGAGAATATAACTTTGAAAAAAAAACTTCTCTGTTACCAGCATGAAATACAAAACTACAGGCTAAAGCTCGAATTCAAGAATATAGAAATAAAAACCAAAGTCAAATTACAAGTTCGTGTCATACAGAAATTGAAACTTAAGCTCATACATAAATGTCTTTCAAAGGCTGATTTCCTGTTTAATTATAGCAGTCCTATAACAGCTGCAAATATCATTGAAAATAAACAGCTAGTAAGTTTCTGTTATTTATTCTCACAAATAATTACTTGTTCAAGTAAACGTTAATAATATGAAACAACCTTTGGTTGCATTTTTAAGTTATGTTTTCTAAAGAAGGGATAACTAACTGTATTTTCGTATTTTATAAGTGACACTCTGTTTTCTTATTATAGTACATTTGTTTAGCTAAACTAATAAAAATGCAAACATATCTGTTATATGTTAGAGATTCTTGGTTATGTTGTTTCAATTATAATTAATTTTTACAAACATTCATTTATATTGTTGTTTTAACACGTGGGTTCTAAAACTCCTAACGTTAGCCAAACGTTGTGTTCGAAGTCAGATTTTTATACAGTCTTTTTTCACAAGCATACTACTTTTTGTATATGTAACATTTCAAGTAACAACGTTAAATAGTGAGCTTCCATTAGGTTTCTACTTGTGCTCCTGGTGATAACACTAAGAGCTTCTCTTTTGAGTTTTCCTTAACTATAAATACTACATGAATCATTCAAACTCTCTTTTTTCAATCTCTCTTAACTGTGAATACTACATGAACCATTCAAACTCTCCTTTTTAATCCCACTTAACTGTGAATACTACATGACTCATTCAAACTCTCTCATTTCAATCCCTCTTAATGTGAATATTACATGGATCATTCAAACTCTCTATTTTCAATCTCTCTTAACTGTGAATACTACATGACTCATTCAAACTCTCTCTTTTCAATCCCTCTTAATGTGAATACTACATGGATCATTCAAACTCTCTATTTTCAATCTCTCTTAACTGTGAATACTACATGACACATTCAAACTCTCTCTTTTCAATCCCTCTTAATGTGAATACTACATGAATTATTCAAACTCTCTCTCTTTTAAATCTTTGTTAACTGTGACACGTAAAAAATAATTCCAGCCCACTCTCCCAATTCTTTCTTAACTGTAAATTCCATACGAATCATTTAAATTATTTCTTTTTAATTTTTTCTTAACTGTGAAGCCCCCATTAGCTCAGCGGTGAGGCTGAGAGCTCACGCCCCTAACAACCGGGTTTCGACACTTGTGGCGGGTACAGTGCAGATAGACCATTGTTAATGAAAAGTACATGCATTATTCAACCTTTGTTTTAGTAGATGTAACAAATCTTCTGTTAGGAAAATCACTCATTTCAATATTTTATATTTGTTGTTGAACTTCAGTTTTCAATGCTTATATATATATATACATGTGTGTGTATTAGGTCGTCAAGAAATGAATGTCGCGTTTTGGAACACTTTCATTAACCACTCCCCAAAAAACGTACATCACGTATAATTGTTAACGAACCACCTAAACGTCACGCTAATGTAGCTTATATAAAGTGTAAAGTTTAGTATACTATAATCCCTTATACTGTTGACACACGACGAGACACACATTTGGCATGTAATGCTGTTTGAATACAAGAAGGGAAACAACGACTCTGTAGCCAAATATCAAAGAAGTTTATGGAAATGTTTTGAACGTTCGTAAGTGTCAACAATGGTTCAACAAATTTCGTTCAGGTGACTTTAGCCTTAAAAACTGTGATGGCAGGGGCCGACATGTTGGAATTGACAATGATGCCTCTGAAGACGCTCGTTGAGTCTAACCCAAGGCAACACACTCGTGAAATGGCCTT